ATAAAAATAAAGGCCGTATTACCATTCGAAATTATGTAGGCATGCAGTTCTACGGCACCATTTCTGTGGGCTCCTCCGCGAAGAAGTTCAAAGTCTTATTCGACACTGGTAGCGGCAATATGTGGCTTCCCACTGAAAAAACGAATATGTGCGGCACAAAGCAATGCTACAGCTCAAGACAGAGTACCACTTCTACACTGTACACGAACGAATATGTTGCGAAATACATTGGAGGTATTGTAAGAGGTGTTTTAGTGAAGGACACGGTCCGCCTTGGTTCGTTCACTACAGAACAGTTCTTTGCAGAGGTGAACGATGTTTCAGGGGTGGGTAATGTCTATGCTAGTGCAAAGTGGGATGGTGTTGTTGGGATGGGATGGCCTTCTATTGCTGAATACAACATTCGGCCCACGATATTTTCGCTGTTTGACGCTAACACAAACCTGGCAAAACAGTTCGCCTTTTATCTGCCCAAGACTCCGAATATGGATGGTGAGCTTGTGATCGGTGGGTACAACACGAAACGTTTTACAGGTGACCTTGTTCCTGTACAGCTAACATCTCAGGCCCACTGGACAGTAGCGATTCCCTCGGCGAAGATTGGCAATAACGTGATTAGTAAGAAGGTTACAGGTATTCTTGATTCAGGTTCCTCATTCATCAGTGTCCCGCAAAAGGCTTTTCAGAAAATTCTCCACGCAACAAGCGCCACAATGAAAGAAGGAGTATACGTAGTTGACTGCGAAACTATAAATCAGCTGCCGAACTTTGAGCTAGAAATTGGCGGCAATAAATGGATTTTTAAAGGTATAGATTACATTGTTAGGTTCGGGGATAAAGAATGCGTTATTGGAATGCTTCAAGAGAATTCAAAACTTTTTCCTGACAACACCTGGATTTTTGGACACGTTTTTTTCAAGCATATCTACACCGTTTTTGATATAGACCAGTCTAGAGTAAGTTTTGCTTATGCTAAATAGCCCAGTTATTAATATATAAAAATATCTGAAGAATATATTGAATGAATAAAGGACTATACATGCTGGAATTATTTTCATTTTGTTATTTTAATTTTAAGATTTGTTCTAATTCAATTACACCACGAGGAGTAGAAATAATGTTTTTAACTTTACTTATTATATAATATACACAGAATTTCATACATATTGATTAATATTTTGATTCTTGAAAAATGGAAAAAATAATTTATATACATACAAGAATATTGAAAAAGGCAGGGAGATACATACATTTAAAAAATAAAAAATTGCATCAATTTATATATAAATGGTAAATATTTTATCAATAAAATCATAAA